TGCAGTGCCACATGGACTATGGACTATCAAACAGTAGGGCTTTGGAGATGATACATGCTATCACTCACTGATTCTGATTATTTTAAAAACACTAAAATGTCTGTATTTTACGCAGGAAAACATTAAATAGCTACGACTCTTTTTTCTTGCAGGAAAATCTTACCTTAAATTCCTCAAGCCTTTTTGTATGGATTCATTAGGCTTATGTGGGAAGACATCTTAACTCTCTATCATCCTACAGCAATCTGTTGGAAATTACGTGCTTTTTCATGCCAAGGTTGTATGGAATAATGACTTGCCTTTGGACAAGGATAGAGTGAAGCTTCATAGGGGAGCATGAGGCTGACACATCTTGGGGTGTTTGATGAATACTTGTGCAGATTTACAGTGCGTGTTCTGTGATGTTCTGGGTAGCAAAACTCCCCTTAGTCTCAGTAGCAAGCCAAGGGAATCCTTAGCGTCAGAACTGTAAAGATTTCTGCTGGAATTACCAAGTATATCTGAAGTGTAAAGATTCCACAGACAACTGGAAGGAGTGTTTGAAAGGAGACTGCAACGTGTATTTTTTCAGGCTAGACATTGAATCATTGTGTAATGTCTGGCAAATTGCTTCAACACTTCCTGGCTCTGTTTCCCCACGGGAGATAGGGGGCTCTGCTTAGGAATGAAATTTATAAAAAGGACTACATAGTGGTTACGATAAGACAGCTCTCTGCAAAGGCTTGGATAATCATCTTGAGTGATGACATTAGTTTGAATTTGTTTTCCTAATTGAATGAAGGTTTGGCATACTTGGTTTCATGTTTCAGTTGCGCAAACTGATCCTTGATAGACTTATACAGGTTTAGTCCTTTTTTTTTTTCTATTTTTTTTTTTAAACTTGTAAACAGAATTCTTATTTTAATGAGAATGAAGATGTTTGTAATTTGAATCCAAATACCAGCACAGGGTTGCTGATTTTTAATGCAAGGTAAAAGTAACTTATAAAGCAGAAAATGCTTGCATTTTAAGTGTCTTTAATTTTGCTATGTTGTGTTCCTCCTGATATTACAATTAAATTTTATTTTAAAACAGAGTGCTAACTGCAGCTAAAAAGATCATTAAACTATCTAGATTAAGAAGGTCAGGAAATCCAATTGGTTTTTTTGGTTGTTTTTTTTTTTGTACACAATTTGGGACCAGATGAAAAGTTGACCAGTTGTTGCCTTCCTCATTTAAAGAAACGTGCATTGATTAAATGAGACACATGTTGTAAACTGTGATAAACAATACCTGCTCTGGGTATTCAGCTTTTCTGGATTTTGGATTCTGTATTTTCCAAAAGTGCCTGGATAATCATTATACACTGCATCAGTACGGGTGACCACTCTTCAGAGGAATGGACTAGCAATTCATCATTTGAGTGCTGATAACATGGAACAATGATGAGCTGTACTGTGTCTGTTGCAGGAGATATATAAAGACTCAGAAAATGCTAGTTTATCCTAGAAATGTCCTTTCAGCTGTATGCCACATTCTTAAATAAAAAAGCTCTAGAACATACCTGAATAGGACTTTCAGTAACCTGTAAGAAGAGGCCTTTCTTTTTCTTTCTTCTACTCTCTGACTGTCATTCTTTTTTCTTCCGCTGGATGGATCCCAGGGGCTATAAAATCTCCTCAGTTTGAGCTATTCTTTCTTCGCTTTTTAGTTAATTTTCAATTCACCTGTGTACATTCCATGTCTCTGCTTGTTTTCCCAGGAGATTCTGTGATTCTGTGTGAGATGTCAGGCAGTAACCTCTCACACCATAGTTCAGGGGCTTTCTGAAAATGAATGTGGGGTAAATTAAGAAAAATGAGAACCAACTCACGCTAATTAATTCACAAATGCAGTATTATATACAGTGTTTAAAGACTGGAAACACCTCGTAATACCAGAGCTCTAAATTATTAATATTCACTCTACCCGGGTCCCTAATTAACTGGAATAAGTTTGACCAATTTTCCTCTCATTTCAGTGCTCACATATTAGACGCTAAAAGGTCATAGCTAGTGGGAACTAAAAAGCCTTCTATAGATTTGATAGCACAAGCTCCTTAGCAGTTGAGTCAAATTGGTAAAAATAAGAGTGAAAATGATCAGGCAATACCATCTGCTGATATTACAGTTGTTATTTCCTGCTGCTTTGGTCAGACAATTTGTGCTGTAAAATGTGTTCAACGCAAAGAGGTATGGTTTTTAAAATGGGACTGTCAGTAAACACTTGTTTTACATCTTACTGTGATTCTCTCATTTTGGAGGCAAAAGTACATTATCTCTGACCGCTGTGCAGACTGAAGAAGTTAGGGATTGCTATAACCTGTGTTTTGCTGTGCTTGTGTTCCTAGAGGACTCACTGGAGAGAGACAAAAGGTTGTGTGCTCCCTAAGATCACGCTGTTCCTCCCCTCCACTCTTCTGGAGACTGAGCCAATGAAAAGACCTAATATGACAAGCAGAGGCTAACAGAGTTCTCCCACGGAGTGGGAGTCTACCAGCCTGATCAGGCAACTATGTGGTTTTAGACTACTTACATCTTACATCTGACACAGATGTGTCATCACACAGGAGAGAAGCTGATGTAAAATGCTTTCCCATAGGAAGTGCAGGTTTTTTAGACCAGTTTTTCACAACGAGCATGAAGAAATAGATATAGTGACACATATTTATGACGTAAGGAGTCTCCTAGCATTAAATTAAACGTTTTTATAGGTCTACTAAGAAACCTCAGCAGTTGCTTCATGCATTTGTTGAGAGCATTTCTTAAATTCCTAGGTTGCTTGCAGCTCTCTGCCTTCATTAGGAACATGCCATTGGAAGTGGAGGCACGGCTGTAAATTATGAGACACTGTTATGAAAAATACTGTTTGTTTGAAAGGTGGACCTGGGATGGCATTCATGAAGGTGCTAAGGTAATAACATATTTACACTAAGCCATTTGAAAATTAGGATTTGCAGAAAAGCTGATGAGAGTATCCCCAGGGTACAAAAAGAGTTAATAGAAGTAATGCACTGTAAGTGGCTCTAACTCTCTAACCCACTGTTCCACCAAGCACCATGCGTTCGATGAATTAAAGGGAGAGGGTGCTGCACAAGAGCCAGTGTATGAAAGGCATAGCTAAAAATTAATGATTGGAGAATTTTTCTATAATCCAAATGGAATTGAAATAGCAAAATCCAACCCACTCTCACCCCCCAAAAAAGGCACAAATCCCTGAGAGAAAACCCATTTTATCTCCTAAGTGCAGCTGAAGTATGCTTCAAAAAACAGGCATTTTGAAATTCAGAATGTTTGTATTTCAGAATTGGGATACAGTGTAGGATGGGAATCTGAAGCATGTCAGAGGTAGCATTTTCTGAGCATTGCATGAGAGCCAGAACTGCATTTTTCAATGGCTGGGAACCCAGAAGCTGTCTTAACACAGTGTCTTCACTGCAGCTACTACAGCTGGTCCTAGAACCACATTATCAAAATCTTCATGTGCATTATGTATTTTACAGCTCTGCTTCAAATAAATTATGGAGAGCTGAGATGAAAAATGTACTAAGCAGTCCTTAAGTGGCAATACTAGTTGGATGGAGCTAGCAGGTGACCTAGTTCCTCTCCATAACCTCTGATGAACTCTGTGCTCTGCTATTGTGTGTTTTCCAGTGCCTCTGCTGAGAGCTGGTCAGAAAGCACTGTCTCCCTTTGTGAGCCTCACAAGCTCCATATGCCAGGGCCTGAATCCTTATCCTGATAACAGCGAGGTCAAGGAGCTGAACCTACTTGATGTGCAAAGCTTCTGGAAAATACACAAGCTTTTTCTGGAAAATACACAACCTCTTTCTTAACCTGTGGTCCTGGCCCATGAGATTCTTGTCATCAGTGTACGATTTTGGTGTGTTGGAAATGAGGTTGTGCCCACCTAAATACAGAGGTGAGGCCTATGGAGGGGGAATCTCATGATGGCCTAGAGCTTCTTCACAAGGAGAGAGGTGGGGCAGCTCTTCACCAAGAAGGTGGTCATTAGTCGAAGCCTGCTGGTGTTTGAGAAAAATGTGAATATTCTATGATTCTGTGAAATCTGTGCTCATGTTTAAATTTATTGCAAAGGATTTGCACCCTCATGGGTGTCTCCGGCTCCCTGCAAACACGCACCTGGCAGGTCTTGATCTACACACTACTTTTTCAGATCCTTTCGTCTGCTAGCTTAGGTCACTACCAGTCCCATTGTCTTAGACTGTTTGAGCCAGACTCAGCTTTTTGGTGCATTCATGCACAAAATCACAGTCTCTCAATAAAAATTCTGTATCTTCTTTTGTAATTTTGTGCTGCAAAGAAATTAAACGTCTTGGCACAGACTGTGACATGGTATGTTAATAAAAACAGCCAGTAGCTTGAAGTAATGGTACACAGGAAAGGTTCTGAGCTAGTATACTAGGTTATAGCAGGACAAAAAGAGTTTACAGACCCATGCATTCTTGTTACATATGCTTGGTTGTGGATTTTTTTTTGTATGGATAAGCCATGATATCTTCCTGAGTTGGTCACATTTCATGCAAATAAACACTTGACTATTTTTACATTGTATATTGTATCATAAGTGTGTCTTTTAAAGCATGGGTTCATTAGTCAATTGCCACCATCTCTTGATTCAGAAGACATTTGTAGGCAGGGTAGTAAGACAAAAATGTAGTTTTACAATGTGTTGTGAGGAAGAAGAATTTGCTTGGGAGTGGATTGTCATTAAGGACAACAGTTGTATCCCTTATTGCTCTTTTCTCTATAAATGATATAACTTGTTACCTGTCAGTTATTTTTTGTGCTGCAAAAGGAATGCCTTCTCAGCTTATTTCAAACAAACACAAGTTAGACTTTTATGCTCTTTTTTGTCTGTTTCCCCAGACCAGAATGCCATGTTATGGATCTTGGTATGTTAAATGTGGAGTTTGCAAAATAGTGGAATATACTAAAATATCTTTGTCTTTTCTTTTTCAGGATTATAAAGTTTTCAACGGTGCCTCCTCAAGAAGTGTGATGAGAAATGGCTTTGGGAAACAACACCCAGAGAAGTTACTCCATCATCCCCTGCTTCATCTTTGTTGAGGTGAGTGCAGCACTCAGTTATCTCAAAAAATCACTTTGCTGGCCACATAGCTGAGGTGTAAGTCTGCAAGTGATTACTTGAGTTTTCTCAGTTTTCTTCAGGCTTGTATCTATTTTCAGGCAGCATAAAGACTAGGTATTGTTTAGAGAAATGTCAGACCTAGTAGTCTAACAGTTCATAAGCTTAGCAAGCAACATTTAACTCTGTTTTCAGCTCATTTGCAACATAAAACGTAGGTGAGGAACAGCCAGCCTTTGAGTTTGAAGAAGGAGTTGGCTAACTCAAAGTTATGTGAATTGACAAAAAGTACAGTTACAGGAGTGGATATTTCCACATGTTTGTTAAGCTCAACTTTTTTAAATTGGCCCAGTTCTCTATATGACTGACTTTTCTGTGTTGTTTCTTACCTCAACACTGCCAGACAGACCAAAATCAATACTGAAACAAATGTTCAACTGGTGATTAAAAGGCTATAAGGGTTTTCTCAGTGAGGGTGTTGATGTGTTTTGCAGGGAGGGTGAAAACTCATCTTAATTTTGATATAATTGCCATGACTGCCTGTCCATAGTGTCACCTCTCTAATGTAGCTTGAATGCAGTGCTTACTCTTTGGCCCAAGTTGTGAGATGTCTTATGCTTACTGACAAGAGAGGCACTAAAAACAGATAAAAGACTAATTGTAATGCTGGGTATACAGGAAGACTTACCTCATTCCCCCTGCAATTTTGGAAAAGCTCCAATGTGCTGCTGCAGCAGGCAGAAGGGGCACTGTAAATCAGTGCTATTCACAACAGGCCTCACAGTGACATCCAGGATCTTTCTAACATTTATCCACTTGTGGTTGTCTTCTCACAGGATCTTCCCTAGCCAAGAGCTAAAGTTTCTTTATATGCACTCTCTAATTTCTGTGCTACCAGCTTAGCTCCAGCATCAGTAAGAAAATCCCTGGGTATTTAATCTAAAGCCAGTAGAAGTATTGTTTATGACCTGAAGGGGCAGTAGTCAATCCACCCTTACAGGAGTAATCTGTCAGGTTGGAAGGTGAAGATGGAGGAAAAGTGTAACAAAACCACTGCTGTAGCTCAGCATGTCTTCCCAGCTGCAGCTGGGGCAGATGCTGGTGTGGGAAGGTGGCTGTCACACACAACACAGTGGATGGTTTTAAGGGACACTTGGATGAATGGGGAGGGGACAAGAGTTTACAATTCTAATCAGAGTTTTACTGTTTCATTAAAAAAGTTATTAACAATCCGGTTAGTTGCACAGGCTTTTCATTTACACCTGGGCAAACTCGTTGCATATCAAGTCAAAATCTTAGCGAACAGCATGTGATAAAGTCATTACCTGGAGCCAGGCTTTATGAAGAAGAACCTGAGTCACTCACTTACTGTGGTGGAAGTATCCCTGGCCATGGCGGAGACACAAATTTTCCTGTCCAGCAGCATTTCTGTATTAAAATCTCACTTAGGCCTTCTAGCAGCCTAATTTTATGAACAGCGTGCTGTGTATTGTTATAGTTCCCTGTTCCAGAATGTGTCTCACCATCTCCTGTAAACCCAGCACATGGCTATTGCTAATGTTGATGTGCTTAATCATCTTGTCAATTTGTGCTCCCCATATCCTCTTAGTGGCTCAGCACTTGGATCTTGTTGTTGTTATGATAAGGGGTATCCCTACACACTGGGGACAAAGAGAAGGAGAGAAGGGGGCAAGATTATACAGTAATAGCCTGCTTACATACTGGAGGTATTTGCCTTATTGCTGATTATGCTAACCATGCTGAAAGTGGCCAGGAGCTGAGGGTACCACTCAGACCAACTGACCTTTCCAGTGACTTGCAGGGATTTGTCATTGACACAACATCCAACTTCTGGGGAACCTCTGCATCCACTTCTTGAGGAGACTGAGAGACTTCTTATCGAGAAACAAGCCACTATCTTATCCCATCACCTAGAGAAAGGAAGGGTAAAAGCAGAGAACAAACTACAGTAAGCTCAGAAGAAACATAATGAGCGCCACTAGGAATAGAATTTCTCAAATTTATTACATGAAACGAGCTGCTCTGAGGGTTTTTAGTCCTTTAAATGTATGAATGATGAGCCTGGTTGGCACTGTATGACAGAGCTATAAATTGTTCCTCCTGTAGACAAAACTGACATGAACACAAAAATAAATCATTTCTGTACTTTCCTTGTCGTTTTATATGTTTGCCTTCCTGATTAAAATATAATTTTAAATGAAAAATCAGGTACAATCAGAGAAGTAGTGTCTAAAAATGTTCTCTCTTCTGCATTACACGAAAACACGTTTTTCCCTGTTTTTTTTTTTTTGTTTGTTTGTTTTGTTTTGTTTTGTTTTGTTTTGTCCAAGGTGGAGATTTTTAATGTAGCACTGTTGGAACTACAGTGTCAGGCATTGTAGCATTAAAAAGTAGGAAATCTAATCTCCTGTAGGGAATGCAGAGATGATTGATAGTAGCCATTCAATCTGAAAACCTTGTAAATCTAAAGACATGCTGAAAGCACTTTCCTTTTCATACTACCACGTTATGTGTATGAGACTAAGGGTAAGTTGATAAGCTGTATGATACTAGGCTGCCATTGCTAAAGGTGCATGGAGGACAGCAAAAAAACATTGCCTGCTTTCCAGATAAAGTTTATCCACATGAAAACAGTGTGGTAGCTGACATGTTTGGTGCTCATGAGTGAGAAGGTAGGTGATCATGACATATTATTATTTCTAGGATGTTCCCCTGGATATCCTGCCTTCCTTACTATCTTCCATAGAATGTAGTGCTTCGATTCAAAATTTTGAGATATTTACTCTTAGGAAGTGGCATTATTTAAGTTTAGCTTGGTTGTTATGTCAGTTACTTTGACAGTAACTGAGAGTAGATATTGGGCAAGTGCCCAATATGCAGCATCCTTTTAAATAAGTGATGGTGAAAAGAAGGTGCCACAAGCAGCTTGCACATTTTAAATACAGTTATGCTCTAGTCTGTATGAGACACAGTTTTAGCACTCATTCCAATTTCCATTTTTTTCCTTTTCATTTTCTTCACTCTCAGCTAACTTGAAGCAGTTAGTTATTATAAAACCTGATCTGAAGATGAATAGCTCATTATAAGAACCTCCATGTTATGTCTGAGTCTACTAATTCCATTTTTTTAAAACAAAATATGAACTTTTCTAATAACATAGAGATAGCATGTTATGTCTAATCTGTGATGATGGAAATGATAAATGAACATTTTTAGTCCCTAATTAGAAACACAGTGTCACATTAAGCATTTAAACATTGAATATGGATTCATTAAACTAATCTCTAGCCTCTTATCAGATCTGAGTGCTTCTCACAAACAATACAGCAGCTTTCCAGATGGTCCTTTATTGTATCATGGGAGATATTGTTGCAGTCTGGCATTTGTTACCAAAAGTTTATAATGATTTGTTATATCAGATTGTGTTAAGTGTGCGAACAGTTGATTAGGAAGTGCAAGAGAATCATGTTCTCTCCTTCCCTGTCCCACCTTGGAGCATTTGCAGCCAGTGACAGTGGAGAGAGCCTTCAGGAAGCTCTTGTACAGCTGAAGGACAAGAAGGACCTCATCATGCAGGGGATCTAAGGAGGACTCTTGTGCTGTTGTACCTTCTCACTTAAGAGTTGTGTTTCTCCAATCACCACGTTCCTGCTGCACAGAGATACAAATAACTTCTTTGAAGTTCCAAAGGGAACGCCATAAAATGTACAGATTACAGGTCCTGGAAGAGTCCTAAAATAATTGCAGAAACTAAGGATGACTTGTTCCAGGGGAGGGGTAAGCACAAGGCACAGGACTGAGATCTAACAAATGCTTGAGTTGGTTTGATTTAGTTTTCAGCTTTTTCCCGATCACTTAAACAAACAACAACAAAAAAGTGTTTAAGCATCAGAACTGAAATACAAATGCATGTTGACTTAATAAAATAAGACTGTGGATTTGATCATAGGATTCCCTGACAGTGGACAAATCTACTTTTTTACCTGAAGAGGTTTCCTCATAGCAGATTTGCCCTTGGCAGGGGACTTCACTTTCTTCCTCCCACTCACTGCTGGTTTCTTGGATGAGCTGCCAGCAGAGGGTTTCTTGATGGCTGGGGCTGTTGGTTTGGCTTTCTTGGCAGGAGTTTTCACCTTGGATGGAGGCTTTGCTTTCTCCCAGCAGGCTGCAAAGGTTTTTCTGGATTTGGGCTTGAATTATCTTCACTTCATTGGAGAGGCCCTGCTTCATGATTTTGGAGGAGGACTCTTCTGCATCCTTTCCTCTGATGGTGGTTCTTCCTCCTCAGACTCTTTGGATTGTTCTTCCTCCTCAGATTCCTCCTCCTCTTTCTCATTAGATTCTTCAAAGTCCTCATCCTGCTCCTTCTCTGGGTAGAGCACGTCTGGGCTAGGATAATAAGGGAAGCAAAGTAAAAAGGTTCCACTGAAGTTCTTTCCAGTAATCTACTCCAACCAGCCATTCTTTTCACATCTCTGCAAGGTTCTCTTCTGCATTGTTCACATATTGCAAATTGCAGCAAGGTTGGAGTAGTTTTGTTTGTCACTCAACTGGTATGTGTCCCTGCTCTGAGAGGTGAACAGGACATTGAGGATCTGCTCCTTGAGGACTGATGCTGCCTGCTGCTGCAGACTGTTTAGAAGTGCAAAGGGCAGAATACCCTACTCAGGCGGCTTCAGTGGTGGACCCAGAGAGTGCAGCAAAGGCTTGGGAGCTCTTGGCTGTCTGTAGGCTCCAAATTTATCCCAGCAAGTGCAAATACTTCACAGCAGATCATTTGAGGACTTTTTGATGGTCAGAACTTATCTCTGAAGTGTTCTAATGAATAATAGACAAGTATGACAGAAAGCCAAATCACAATCGGGGGTTTGTTTTTCACTGTCCAATCTGCAGGGGGCAGGGGGTACCTCATCAGGACAACTGTGCCTACCATCAGGTGTAAGCAGCACATCCATGAGCAG